CGTGCATTTGAAGATCATTAAGGACGATAAACTTGCAATAATTTGTTGTAAGATCACCTTGGGAGCGACTAAGAGTAGATAGTATAGATTACAAGGAACAAGGATTTGGACCACTCATCATCAAAGAGAGATAGTTTTGTTTTCTGCAGTTTTTCTTTTATTGATAACACAATTTTTACACTTATTTTAGAAAAATAAATATTTTGATTAGGAGATTTAGAATAATATTTGGGATTTTGAGATTTCAACTAATTTTGTTTGCACCATTAATTTTAAAGGTTCACGTACGTAGAACAAAATTTTGAGAATCAATTATGAGATTTTGTTTATTGAAAATTGTTGAGTGTGAATTTTATTTCATTATTTTATTTCAATATATAATGTTAGATCCTATATGTTTTTTATTATTCCGGTATTCTTTGGACCTTACCTTTCACATGTAATAGCATAGATATTGAAGCACGAATAGAACCCTGAGATAAGAGAATTATAAAGTGTGATAGAATCAGTCATATCATTTAAATAATTTTAATTAATTAATTACTGAATTAGCTAATTAATTGATTGGCGCACTAAGACATTATATATCACATTAATATAAAAGTCTTGTTTTATCTCTTTTGCAGCCCTAGGATATTCAAATTCATTATCATTAGCTAATTGAACTAGACAACGTGTAGCCAAAAATGGTGCCGAAGCTGTACCATAAGTTACAGTATTTAACTCGAAACAACTTGTAACGATGAGTCCAAGCCATCACCGTTAAACCAGCGTACGCGCGAACCAACCCATGAAGTAGGAGTATATCGACAGTAGAAAGGGCAAAACTAATTACCAAGCTCCGCTATATAAACCGCAACATTTCCTCATAGAGAGAGAATCGACAGGTGTTGACTGAAGGTTCTCTTCTTCCCTACCCCGGCTTGTGGACGTGTTGAGTTCACAAGTTGTTCCGCCCCATACCGCCGTTACCCGGAAAGAGTGTTGATCTCTTCACTACCCATACTCTGAAGCAGTCGTGTTAAGACTGTCGAGGAGTGTCCTGTTAACCCGAATCACTTAAGGGACGTGTTGAGTTCCTTTCCTTTCTTTGTACCTATCGTCCGCTGTTATTAAATCGATACAACGTTCCCGTAAAATTTCAAATACATATTCGCTTGCCGATAAAACTAATTTCATATGACAAGGTCAAACTTAATTTGAATAAATAGGCCAGGTACTGAGAAGACTAAACCAAATTGTAAATATGTACATAAGATTTTTGTCAATTTAATTTAAGGAAGACAATAAAGTTTTATTTTTGTTTTGAACTCTGTCTCTGACTGTCTAAAAGCTACCCGGATAGTGACTCCTACGAGAGGACATCACAAACTTAATTCCTCACTAGGATTTTCCCTCTAAAATATTCTTTGCAATGAACATTGCTCCTTGTCTATTAATATCTGCCTGTACATTTTTGAAATATCTGCACTCATAACATAAGGATAACATCTAAATCTGAGCAAAATGGAACACAAATCAGACTGAACAGTAGGACCTACATACTGGGCATCATTTAAAGAAATACCACTAGTAGATTTTGCACTGGCGTCAAAAACTATCCGGCACTTAGTGGTTAAAGAATTTTCTCGAATTACCGCATGGTGTGGCATATAATTCAAATTTTCCAAACTATCATTTTCATTAATTTTTGTCATATAATTTAAACTTTCATACTTTCAAACGCATAAAGTCAACATAGTAAGTTTTTAGAGAATTATTTTTATTTAATTTTTGCTCCAAAGAATAAAATCGTTTTAGAGCTGCCTTTCGTGAGTCACCTAAAGAATCGATATTTTTGTTCAAAGGCATTGTTACCACAAAACTTCCTTCAGAATTCCTATATGTATTTTTCAAAAAATCATCTTCACACTTTTGTTCAATTTTATTTAAAATCGAAATAGTTTCAAAATTCTCCATTTGCCAAAATTGACTTAATTGATCACAATTATTTTTTCAAAACTATCAGCTGTAATCGCAAAGTGACAGGAAATTATGAAATAATTTTGATTTGGCAACATTGCATTTCCAGAAATAACCCAACCTAACAAAGTCTTTTGTAAGACAGGCATATCTTTAACTAAACTCAATTGTCCTATACAAAGTAATTGCCAAAAAATACCACTACCTAACAAAATTACTTTTGTAAAATTCTGAATCAGCAAGTTTTATATTTTGTGGTATTTCAAATAGAGACCTATCCATGTTAAGTGTAGGCAAGTTTTCTGTAATTTTATTTATTCTCAAAGAGGATAATTCAATTTTAAAATTTGAGTTTAAAGAACCTATTTCAATGATAGTTTTGTGTTTAATTGTAGATGTAGCTTTTCCAACACCTTTTACTGTTAAACTAAAATTTATCTTTTCAAGATTTAATTTCTTGCACAATGATTCAGTTACAAAACAACATTGAGACCCATTATCTAGTAAAACTCTTGCTAAATGATATTTGCCATATTTATCTTTTACTTGTACTATAGCCGTTGCAAGCAAAACTTCTGTTGGTCTAAAAGAATTTATTGTATGAGAAACTAAAGTATGTTGAGCTTCAGTTGTACTATTATTTTCATTATTGTTAAAATTATTATTTATTTGTTGCACTTGATTGCGATCAATATGTATCAGAGTACTGTGTTTTCGAAAGCATTTTATGCACCCACTGTAAGTGCAATGTTTTGACAAATGTCCTGGCCTAAAACAGTTTATACATCATTTTTTCTCAAACAATTTTTGACTACGCTCATTTATTGGAATACTTAAAAGTTGGTCACAGTCATAAACTGAATGCTCGTTTTTACAAAAATAGCACTTTGGTTTACTTGTAGTTATATGTGAAGTGGAAAAATTCTTTAT